AAGTGAAGTGAGCAGAACCAGGAGAACAATTAAATGATGACTATAATAATGTAAAGGAAAACTGTGAAAGATTTGAATGAATGAATGAGCATTTCTTAAGCTCTTTACTATATGCAAAGCAATGGGGATACAAATAGAGAAGCAAGACAGTTCCTGCTCTCAAGTAGCTTGCAGTGTAAGAAGAAGAGGCAACACACATGGGTTTTAGCTGCAAACCAGATGGAAAGATCTCCTAGTCCTTAGGGTACCGCAGCAGCGAAGCAGATGGGAATACATCATCTTTAATGTTACTTCTGCAGATAAAACCATATCCATTTCTGATACTCAACTATTTGACAGTGTCAAAGACTTTGTGTTTGAGAACTTTCTTTCTAGGTCTTCAGTAGGAGTAGATGAGGAGGCTCGAACAGCTTCTTCCTCATGATGGCTGCCAGGGGCTGGACTCAGGATTTTGGGCTGTTTCCATCAGGGCGTGAAGGGAGGTGATGATCTGACCTCCCTAGCACATGCTGCTTCCTTCCTGTCTCTCCCACAGCCTTGCTGCTTTGACTAAACTGAATCTAAGCTTGCCCTGTGGGTTGCAGTTGTTTAGCAATTACGATAGGAATGGTTTTCCCCTTCTCCAAAGGGGGTGCTTCCCTGGAGGGGGCAATCTGGAAACAGGGCTGGTGGTCTTAGAGGTACTATTATTTCTCAGGCTCTTGGGGTTTTCCTGACCATCAATAGCTGTTGGTCAGTTGGTCAGTGGATGTACAGGTTATATTGAAGATAGTAAGTCCATTCTCCACAGAGTTTGCCTCTCTCATTGCTGGCTGTGGGAGGCCAGGTTGGAAGCAGATCAAATAGTTTGAAAGATATCGCTGTCCCAGGACTTGGGGTCCTGATCCATCTCCATGTATGTGTAAGGGGTGATGGAAGCAGTGGCTTACCTGGCACACACCACTTCCCTCTTATGATACCTTGGTTCTACTTATATAGAGAACTTGCCTTGAGATCTCTGATATATACAGGAACCAAACAGAACTTCAGAAGACTAAAGAGGAAGCATGTTTCTTGCCCGTTGGGAGATGGGCGATGGACCAGAAGTACAAAAAGAAGCATATTTTTAGACATGACCATTGTATGGATATGTTTTGCTTAAGTTTAATCATTTGGCTATACTTCACTGTATTCCTCATGGTTGTCCATGCTACACACAGCTGCCAAAATAATTTTCCTTCAGTGTTGATATGACCACGTGACTCCCCTACTTAAGCAATTCTAGCGACTTCTTATTGCCCCCATAACCCACCAGCTACACTGCTTTTGGACTTCATATCTTGAAACTCATCATTGGGAAATCCATTATTCTCTAGTCCATCATCCATACAGTACAAAGAGTAAGCTAAATCAATAGTCACATGAAAAAATGCTCTAAATCACTGCTAATTAGAGAAATGTAAATTAAAACAACTCTGAGGTACCACCTCTTGCCTCTCAGATTACCTGATATGACCAAAAAAAGGAAAATGATAAATGTTGGAGGGGATATGGAAAAACAGGGACACTAATGCATTGTTGGTGGAGTTGTGAACTGATCCAACCATTCTGGAGAGCAATTTAGAACTATGCCCAAAGGGCTATAACATACCCTTTGACCCAGCACAGCTAGGTCTGTTTCTCAAAGAGATCAAAGAAAAGGGGGAAAGACCTATTTGTACAAAAATATTTATAGCAGCTCTTTTGTGATGGTAATGAATTGGAAATTGAAGGAATGTTCATCAATTGGGGAATTGATGAAGAAGTTGTGATATATGATTGTGACGGAATACTATTGTGCTATAAAAAATGACAAGGGGGATGATTGCAGAAAAAACTGGGAAGGTGTATGTGAATTGATGCAGAGTGAAGTGAGCAGAACCAGAAGACCAGTAGCAGCAATATTGTAATAATGATCATCTATTTAAGATTTAGCTACTCTGATGAAGACAATAATCAAAGATAATTCCAAAGGACCTATGATAAAAAATGCTCTCCACCTCCAGAGAGAGAACTGATGAATTCTGAATGCAGATTGAGGTATTTTTTTTTACTTTCTTTACTTTTCTTGGTTTTTCTTCTTCTGTGTTTTTTCCTTTGCAACATGGCTAATATGGAAATGTTTTGCATGACTTCACACGTAAAATTGATGTCAACTTGCTTGCCTTCTCAAAGAGGAGGGAGGGGCAGGAAGGAAAGAGGATTTGTAACTCAAAAAAAATGTTTTAAATGAATGCTAACCAATGCAATGATCCAAGACAATCCCAAAGGACTAAGGATGAAGCATACTATCTGCCTCCAGAGAAAGAACTGATATTGAATGAAAACAGACTAAAGCATGCTATTTTTTACTTTCTTTCTTTCATTTTTTTCTTTTGAGTTGTCCTGCACAAAATGACTAATATGGAAAAGTTTTATGTAATACACATGTGTAACCTACATCTGATTGCTTACTGTTTCGGGGAGAGGGAGGGAAGAATAGAATTTGGAACTCAAAACTTTAAATAAAAATGTTTAAAATTTTTTAAAATAAATACTTGTTGAACTGAAAAATTAATGAATGCTAAAAAAATGTTTACATGTAATTGGGAAATAGTTAATGAAATAAATAAAAATATATTAGGAAAAAAAGTTTTTAAAAAGAATGAGCTGAGCAGGAAATGAAATGAGAATATGGCTGAGGAATTAAGATATTCAAACCTCCCACCCATTTTAGGGTGGGGAATGCTTGGTATTTGAAGTCTTTCAACTTTCAGTCTTTTATCTTTTATCCACTACAGACCTTCAGTTTACACTTATGTACTTTGTACATATTGGTATGTATTTACTTTATGCTTTCTGTGTTTTTATAAATGCTTAGCATTTCCTATATTAGGATGTAAGGTCCTTACAAATAGGGATCATTTCACTCTCTATACTCTCTCCCAGTGACTAATGCATAGTAGGTGCTTTAATTGATTGCTTTGTTATAATCAAAAACTTTAATTTAATTTTTTTTTGTGAGAGTCATGAGAAAGAGAAAGAGAGAGAGAGAAACTTTATTTTTAAAAACAGACTTTAAAAAATGAGCTATGTGGGGGCAGCTTGGTGGCACAATGGATAGAGCACTGGCCCTACAGTCAGGAGGACCTGAGTTCAAATCCAGCCTCAGGCACATAACACTTATTAGCTGTGTGACTCTGGGGTTACAGCTGTGTAACCCCAATTGCCTCACAAAAAAAAAGCAAAAAACAAAAACAACTGTGTAAAAGAGATTTGCAGTGTCATGTAGAATCCTTATTCTATTCTGTATGTAAGGAAACATTTGTCTTTGTTGATGTTTGTCAAGTCTAGACGATGGTCATGGTGGTGGTGGTGATGATGACAATGATGATGGGGGGGTGATGCTGATGATAATTTTGTTTGTTTGTTTGTTTTGGTAAGGCAATTGGGGTTAAGTGACTTGCCCAAGGTCACACAGCTAGGACATGACAACTGTTTGGTCTGAGGCCGGATTTGAACTCAAGTCCTCCTGACTTCAGGGCCTGTGCTCTATCCAGTGTGCCACCTAGCTGCCCCTTGATGATCATTTTAAAAGAGAAAGGTAGGAAGCAAGGACAGAACCAGAGCAGAGAAATGTTGATAAGGAAGAGACTTCACAGAAAGACTTGTCCATGGCTCCTTGGGCTCCTCCAGAGAAACACATGCTCCCAGGAAATGACAGATCCATGTGTCCCCAGTGAAGACAGTGCCTCATAGCAATGGTGAAATAGAGAATTCCTGGGCTAAGCCTGAAGTCATAGGCATGTGAGTTGGCCAGAGTGAATTGTCAGTGGTGAAGTATTGGAAGCTGGCAGAATTACTGGACAAGTAGAGGAATTCCAGGACCAAGCCACCTGCACGCTGAGAAGGAGTTTCTGGACAACACTAAGTGCTTGGACCAAGCCGCCTGAAGGGAAGAGCAAGAGTCTCTGGGCAACCCCAAATTCCTGCATCCATTGTCCTGGAGAGAAGTAGTTCATGGACAATGGTAAGCTCTTGGACTAAATTGAAGTGTTTGGGACCAAAAAGGAGGCAGAGCCAAGTTGCCACAAGGAGACAAAAGAGAAACCTTGGCCTTACCCTCCACTTGCTCAGCGAGTGCGTATTTGAGAGAAAGGATCCAACTCTTTGTTTGGCAAGCCCAAGACTGAACAGGTCACATTTGACTATTTAGCAATACTTAGTATTTTCCCTTTGTAGTGGGCCCTTAGTCCTAGGTTAGTACTGTATGTCTGGAGGACCACATACTTCTCTGGGGAAAGGCAAGGCCCACTAGAGAAGAAAAGAGGTTGTTTCGATGGTTTATAGACTCACACATAAGTCCTTTCTGATTTGTGTTTCTGTTGAATTAAATCAAGTCTGTCCTCTATTTAACGTTTTGTTAACCTGAGTACTTTCATGGGAGTTGAAGAGTCTTTTACCATTTTTGTAGACAACTAGACATAAGCTAACTTCTGATGCTGGCAAAGTCAGTCCATCAATAAGCATTTATTAAGCACTCACTTTGTGCCAGGCACTGTCCTTGTTGAGAACCCAAGCCAAAGAGTATTTTGTGAAAAGCTGATCTGTGGAACCTAGTGCCTTCAGTTCTGGGCCAAAGGCCTGGCTCTTTAATATTTGCTTGTTTCTTCTCCTTTGTCCAACAAGCAAACCCCTTAATAGACCTTAACACCATGTACCTTAACAGAATGTGAGCTTCATGACTACAGGGATCATGATTCATTTAGCTTTGTTTCTCCAACAGAGTCATGAATACACTGGGCCCTTCATAAAATGTCTGTTGATTGAACTCATGAACAAAAAACAGTTTGTAATTTTATATTCCCAGATGCCTGAGGTCAGTATCTATATATTCTCCAGTGGCTCCAAAATACTCATACTCAGAAGGGAGCACAACCTGAGGCAGGAATGGAGCCTGTAGCTGAGTTGATCCAACTTTAACTTTCACTCCCCTTATATAGGTGGCACATAGAGAAAGAACACAGAAGACAAAATGCAGGCGACATCACTTTACTCTTCTTTGGACTGGTATGGAGAGATTGAGGCCAGCTGGCTGATGCAAGATGGGATCCCCACATGGTACCATGGAGCCATTTCCAGAGAGTGAGTTTACCCTCTTGAGTGGGGCAAACAAAGGATCCTCTCCATCTTGCCCAGAGTCAGAGAGGCAGGCGGCTGGGAATTCTGGGTACCCATAATCAAGATGTTAGAAGATCTCATGACAAAGCTATACATCTCTCAGCCCCAACAATGGATGGATGATACTCACACATGTGCAGGAGGGCAAGAGAAACAGATGGCCACCTGTTGGCTATGTTACTCCCAGCTCCAGGTCTCTGCTAGCTTGCACTTCTCCCTTTCCATGCATAGAACAGAGCCCCAGGAATAATTATTATTAACAATGATAGTAACTATTATTTCTATAGCACTTTAAGGTTTCCAAAGTGCTTACATAAAAAAACAAAAACACACCTACCCAGCAAAACTGAGTATAATCCTTCAGGGAAAAAAATGGTCATTCAGTGAAATAGGGGACTTTCAAGCATTCTTGATGAGAAGACCAGAGCTGAATAGAAAATCTGACTTTCAAATACAAGACTCAAGTGAAACATGAAGAGGTAAACAGGAAAGAGAAATCATAAGAGACTTATTAAGGATCAAATGTTTACATTCCTCCATAGAAAGATGATATTTGTAACTCATGAGATCTTTGTCAGTATTAGGGTAGTTGGAGGGAAAAAATTATATGTATGTATAGATAGACGGACAGACAGATGGATAGATAGATAGATAGATAGAGGGCACAGGGTGAGTTGAAGATGAAGGGGTGATATCTGGAGAATAAAATTAAGAGGTGAGAGAGGATTATACTGGGAGAAGGAGAAAGGGAGAGGTAGAATGGGGTAAATTATCTCACATGAAACAGACAAGAAAAGGCTTTTACAGTGGAGGGGAAATGGGGGAAGATGAGAGGGAATAAGTGAATCTTATTCTCATTGGATTTGACTTAAAGAGGGGATAACATACACATTCAATTGGGTATGGAAAGCTCTTACCCTTCAGGAAAATGGGGGGGGAGGGGACAAGAGAGCAGGGGGATGATAGAGGGGAGAGCAGATTGGAGGAGGGGGTAATCAGAAGCAAACGCTTTTGAGGAGGAACAGAGTCAAAAAAGAGAATAGAATAAATGGGGGGCAGGATAGGATGAAGGGAAGTATACTTAGTTTTTCACAACATGACTACTGTGGAAGTGTTTTGCATGACTACACATGTATAACCTGTATAGAGTTACTTGCATTTTCAATGAGGGTGGGTGAGGATGGAGGAAGGGAGAAAATTTGGAACCCAAAGTTTTAAAAACAGAAGTTAAAAAAATTGTTTTCTCATGCAACTGGGAAATAAGAAATACAGGAAATGGTGTATAGAAATCTACCCTACCCTACAGGAAAATAGAAGGGGAAGGGGATAAGAGAAGGAGGGGGGAGAGATAGAAGGGAGGGCAGATTAGGGGAAGGGGTATACAGAATGTATGCCATCTTAGAGTGGGGGGAAAGATGAGATGGGGAGAAAATTTGGAACTCAAAATCTTGTGGAAGTGAACATTGAAAACTAAAAAATAAATAAATAAATAAAAAACAAACAAGAACAAAAACAAAAACAGGGCAGCTAGGTGACACAGTGGATAGAGCACTGGGCCTGGAGTCAGGAGGGCCTGAGTTCAAATCCAGACTCAGACACTTGATACTTACTAGCTGTGTGACTCTAGGCAAGTCACTTAACCCCATTGCCTAGCCAAAAAAAAAAAAAAAACAAACAAACAACCAAAGTGCTTACATATAAAAATGAATGTGGGACTGGGAATCAGGAAACCCAGTGTTCAAAGCCTGCCTCAGATACTTCCTAGCAGAGTGGTCTGAGGAAAGTCACTTAACCTCTCTGTGTCTCAGTTTCCCCATCTAAATGGGGATAATAATAGCACGTATAAGGTTGTTTAAAGTTGCAAATGAGTTAACATATAGAAAGTGCTTTCTAAGCCTTAAAGTGCCATATAAACACTAGCTATTATTATTGTTGTTATTATTATCATTATTATTATCTGATCCTCACAACAACCCTGTGAGGTAAGCACTATTATTATCCTCATCTTGCAGATGAGGAAAGTGAGACACAGAGAAGCTAATTGACTTGCCAAAGGTTCACAGGGCTAGTAAGTGTCTCAGGCAGGATTTGAAGTCAGGTCTTTTTGTCTCCAAGTCTAAAGCTCTCTCCATTGTGACACTTAGCTATTTAAATGTCCATAAACTGAATTACTGAACTTTGGCCAATGGGAACTACCTAGGAGTTAAATCCTGTAGGGGGGATATATGGGGTATTCAGAGGCCTGGCACCTCTGGTGTGAGGGCTTGCTAAGCCTTTTTCAGGGCTACTCAGCCACTTTTAGTGTCCAAATGTCCCCCAACTCTCACCTGTGGGTCCAAGAAGCTGTAGCACTTGCAGCGTCCACATCCTGGTAAACCATCTCGGAAGATGGGATGAACCAGAAGCACTTGAAGACTTCCCCTGGTAGAATGGACATCTAGATGAGAACGATTTGTTCCAGTGGCCACAAAGGTAGCTGAAGCAGGTGCTGTTGGTGTGGTTAGAGCTTGGTCAGGCAAGGTCATCTTCTACATCCAAGCCATTGCCAGTCATCCTGACTTTTGTCTTGCCATTAGACTTTGATGACTCTGGAAGAAAGAGTGAGGCTGATGACTTTGTCTCACTTCAATCCAATTCACTCAAAAGTCAAGGCATCACTTTTGACATCATTGGTCCCCTTTGAAAGGAAGGACAAACAATAAATCCTCTAGGGCTAGCTAAAGTAGGCAGTATATGTCACCACGTGGTGCAATTGTCAGATAATTCTCTGTAAACTTGCTTCAGTATCATTTCTCCCTTATCATCTCTACTCAAACACACTTTCCTGAGCAAACTTCCACACCCCAGACCTTCCCCTTCCCCGTCACTCCCATCAATACCTAGGACTTCAGAAGCCTGTTCTCTGCTAAATCTAACCTAATAAATTGGCACCATGCTAAGTGTCCTTCTCTTGGAGGCCACAGGTATACATTTTAACAATGGCATGGAATGCCATAACCAGAAGCACTAATAATGGAATTTCGGGTATGGTGATAGCCCAATGATCGGAGATACTTTTGAACAGCAGAACTTTCAAAATGCCTCCCCTTTACATCATGTAGGCATCCTCCTGCACATCTACATGTACAGAGAGTGGCCCAACCCCGTCCTGTCATGTTCTAAAATGTGTACTGAAAAGTTATATGATGATAAGAGATGCCTGCTGAGTCTTAGGACCATCAAACTAGTGCTGCTGTAGAACATTATATGCATAGAGCTGCAATGCTGGAAGGGGACGCCCAGAAGCAGCTGGTCCAGAGGGGCCTGAGCAGAAATATCAGCTCCCACATCCCCGTCAGGTCATTACCCAGCCTCAGGCAATGGGGATGTACTTAGCCTAACGAAGGGGAAACAAGCCAAAAGACCACCTCCGTATTAGACTGTTTCTGTGAGTGCACACAGAAGGCGGGTCTCGACAGAAGACGTCGATGGATGAAGAGCTTCCTAACAATTACAACTTCCCGACAACTCAATGAAGTAGCCAGCTCTCTGTCACCAGAGTTCTTCCACCAGAGGCTGTTTGATCGGGGTTTTTGCGTGATGAGGAGGAGATTCCAGAATTGGCAGGGGTTTGATTAGATGACCTCTGAAGTCCCTTCTAGCTCTAGAATTTAGAAATGAGAGAGCCTTGGAGTGCAGGTGGAAAGTGGGGTTTGGAGGAAACCAAAGTTTACAAGATTTTTTAATGAGGAGAGGGATGGGGAGGGTGCTGTCCTTGGTGGAGAATTGTTTAGAAACTTTCCCAGGGTTGGGGGGTGGGAGGTGGTCTCTCTAAATAAGTAGACAAAGATTGATTGAGTCCTGGGATCTGCCCTGGCATCACTTCAGGTTTGTATATATCGTTCTAGAGCCACTGAAAGTTTGCTCCAGAAGAAACCTCTGGGATGTTTCCTAGTACGAGTAAGCGAGAGTCATGCGGGCTACACACTGTCTTACAGGTAAGTAGATAGAACAGGAAGGAGCAGATCCCTCCCTTCCAGACCCAGTGTGGTATATAACAAGCTGACAGTATCTAGCTGGAAACTGAAGACTTGAATTCAAATCCCAGTTCTCTCATTTATAATCTATGTGATGTTGGCAAAGCCATTTAATCCCTATGGGCCTCAGTTTCCCTGCTTGTAAAATGAGGAGGTCAGACTAAATGACTTATAAGACCCTTTCCAGCTTTAAATTTGTGATCTCTGATCCAGCAATATTTTCAATCATTTCCAGTTGTGTACCACTCTTCAAGATCCCATTTGGGTTTTCTTGGCAAAGATACTAGAGTGGTGTGCCATTCCTTCTCCAGCTCGTTTTACAAATGAGGAACTGAGACAAACAGGGTTAAATGACTTGCCCAGGCTCACACAGGTAGTAAGTGTCTGAGGCTGGATTTGAACTCAGGAAGATGAGTCTTGCAGATTCCAAACCAGTGCTCTGTGCACTATGGCGCCACCTAGCTGTCCTTAGTAATTCCTAATACAAGAAGGGCTGAGTGTGACATACTCTCCCAATGAGGGGGGTGGGGTGCACGGAGAGAGTGGGGCAGGAACAAATTCCTTTTAACTTTCCTTATTTGTATTTGAGAGAGCATAGTCTGAATTAGTTTTGAAGTTAAATCTTTAAATACGCTATGTAAACTTCTGGACTGCTTAAATGAAGAAAGTCGCATCAAAGTCCATGTAGCCCACTTTTTCAACAATGCAGAAATTGCACCTCTTTTTGTATTCCCAGCACTTAGCATAGTGCCTAACGCAAAGTGAGTGCTTAATAAATGTTGATTAGCAACAAGAACAACAAAAAAAGTTGATTAGTTGAAATTAACATTCTTCCCTGAGGGTCCATGCCTACAGGGATTATACTCATCTCCAAATACACGGTTCCACAATTTAACAGGCAGACATAATATCTCTCTCATAGGTTTCTGCTTGTCTTAGTGCTTGCATAGGTCTTCTTAAATACAAAGACAATAAAGCAAATAAAACAGGAAAGAAAAATCAAGCTTTCCCTCTCAGAGGGAAAGTGTGTTCCCAGTAGGGTCTCAAACAGCAATGAAAAATTTGAAGTTACCTAGAGGTCACCCTCTTACCTTAAAGATCAAATGAGGTCATATTACTAAGGTGCTTAGCACAGTGCCTGGCACATAGTAGGCATTTAGTAAATGCTTGTTCTCTTCTCCCCTTCAAGCTAGAAATCAAACTGCCCTGAATGAAAATTCTTCTAGGTCCCTGCCATGGTGAGGGCAAAGGAAATTTCTCCAGAGATCTCTGTAACACACAAGGAATTCCAACTAAAGATCCGGACAAAATTTTCAATGAATGAATGAGAATTTAAATAATTACTGCATGCCAAGCTCTGTGCTAAATGCCAAAGATACAAATACAAATGCAAAATTAGTCCCTGCCCTCCAATAGCTTGCATTCTTTGTTTGTTTTGTGGGGGCTTTAACTTAATTTTATTTTTTCAACTATTTTTCTCTCTCTCTCATTTAAAAAAACAAAACAAAACCCTTGTAATAAATATGCATAGTCAAGCAAAACAAATTTCTGCATTGCCCATGTCCAAAAAATATTCCCCCCATTCTGCATCCTGAGTCTGTCACCTCTTGTCAGGAAGCAGGTAAGCTTACAGTCTAATAATAGCGTGACAACATCTATAGTAGATTGGTAGTGAAGGAGGGATATTTTGGTTTATAAAGTTACAGGGATAGCTAATGGAGCCATTTGTGTTCCATCATTTCAGTTGTGTCCAACTCTCCGTGATCCCATCCCATTCTTGGCAGAGATGCTGGAGTGGTTTGCCATTTCCTTCTCCAGGGATCTGCTTTAGTGAATAGTATGAACAGATATTTTAAACCTTAATTATTTATATGCAAGTACTTGATAGTCTTGCTTTCCCTGGAACTTATGCTGATAATTGTTTCAGAAAAGCCTTTCTCCCTAAGAATGATGCCCAGGCTCAGTTCTGTAGGAATTATTAAAAAATAGAGAGCTGGGTTCTGATTCAGAGCACTGTCACTGATTTTGATTAATTAATAAAACAGCCTTTTTCATTAGGAAATCTGCCTTCCCAAACTTTCTCCTTCCTTCCCCACTTTTCTGTTGAGCCTCTCCTTCCGGACTTTACCTTTTCCCTCTTCCCCCACAAAACTGAAGCATGAAGACTTTGACACATTCTCTCAAGAAAAGAGGACCAGTCCTCTCTCATCTCTCAGATTTGGATTCAGGAGAGTCTAGTTTTTATTCCTTTCCCCAATCCTGAGCTCTAAGATAGCTCCGCTCCCCCCAATTACCCTCCACACAACGAAACTGTACCTGACTCATGGTCTCTTCCCCTCAGAGCTAGGGACTGCTGCCGCCACTTCATGATCAAGCTTTTGCCTGATGGTTACTTTGCAATCCCTGGAGAAAGGGGTGTCCACTCAACAGTAGTGGAACTTGTGAATTTCTACCAGAAAAATCCCTTTGAGCCCTACAAGGAACTGCTAACTCAGCCGTGTGGCCAGGTAAGGAGGGGAGGGCTCTGGGTGGAGGGTCTTTGCAGGGAGCTTCTGCTGCCTCACTGGTAGATAGATGGAACTGGCCAGGGTACACCCTTCCCAGAAGCCGGAAGCATAAGCAATAGCCTGCAAACAGAATGAGATAGACAGTAGAATTATTCCATTTCCTAGGAAAATATCTGAAGATCCCATCAGAAGGATTCCTTACAGATCTGGCCATGCATACTAATTCTGCTGGCCACCTCCAAACATATGTAGGGGAAGCAACCATACACAGGGATTAACCTAGCTGACTAATTTAGGGTTCTATAATAATAATAGCTAACATTTACATGGTGCTTTAACGTTTGCAAAGCACTCAACATATGGTATATCATTTGACCCTCACAACAACCCTGGGACGTAGGTGCTAGTATTGTTCCTATTTTACAAATGAGAAAAATAAGACTGAGAGAGGTTAAATGATTTGCCCAGGGTCACATAGTGAGTAAATGGCTGTGAGCTTGGGTGACTGAAAGCATAGCAGGACTTGAACTCAGACCTTCCTGACTCCAGGTCCAATACACCATCCTCTGCCCCACCTAACTACCTCTGTAATTCTAGAGTTCAGTAATTCTAGGATTCTGTGATCCTAGGGTAAAATAATTCCTGCTGTCATGGCAATTAAAAAGGTTCGAGAGACATAATTTCTGGATAATTTAATCATTTTATTAATAATGCCAGCATTTTAATAAAAGGGTGGTTATTTGGGCATCTCTTTCTTAGACCAAAGAACATCATGGTGGCAGGCTGATGACTTATATGCCCTTTTGCAAGAGAAGTGCTGGGCCTAGAGTCAGGAAGACTCAACCTCCTGAGTTCAAATCCGTCCTCAGACACTTACTTGCTGTGTGACCCTGGGCAAGTCACTTAACCCTGTTTGCCTCAGGCTCCTCATCTGTAAAATGAGCTAGAGAAGAAAACGCAAATCATTCCAATAGCTTTGCCAAGAAAACCTCAAATGAGGTCATGAAGAGTCAGACGCGGGGCAGCTAGGTGTCACAATGGATAGAGCACCAGCCCTGAAGTCAAGAGGACCTGAGCTCAAATCCGGCCTCAGACCAAACACTTGACACTTACTAGCTGTGTGACCCTGGGCAAGTCACTTAACCCCAATTGCCAAAAAAAAAAAAGAGTCAGACACAACTGAAAATGACTGAACAACAAATTTTTCTCTCCATCCTCCACCTCCCATTGAGGAAAAAAAAAAACGCAAACAACCTTGTAACAAATATGCACAGTTAAGCAAAACAGATTCCTGCATTGGTTGTGTGCAAAAAAAAGAAAGTCTGATTCTGCACCCCGAATCCGTCATCTCTCTGTCAAGATGTGGATAACACGTGGAATCATGGTTAGTCACTGAGTTGAACAGAGTTCTTAAGTCATTTAAAGCTGTTTGTCGTTACAATATTGTTGTTATTGTATAAATTGTTCTCCTGGTTCTGCTCACTTCCCTCTGCATCAATTCATATTAGAATTCCCACATTTCTCTGAGGTTGTACCTTCCCACCATTTTTAATGGCCAAATAATATTCCCTTACATTCCTATAGCAGAATTTGTTCAGCCATTCCTGAATCGATAGGCACTTGCTCCCTTAGCACCGTCGTGACCTGTTCTTGATGAAGCCATACTTTTTCTTTAAGATCACTGCTTCATTTTTTAGGTATTCATTAACCATCTCTTTAATAACATCCTAGAATGTTACCAGGATTTGAAATCAAGCTCATTGGCATGTAATTTACAGAGTCCAGTCTCTTCCCATCGAATAGATGTTTTGGAAGTTATTTTTCTCTCCTGTAGTCCTCTCTCAACGCAATCCAGTTTTTCCCTAGATAAATGTGCCATCTCTAGTAGCTCATCATACCTAATCTGCTGTTTCCCTGTCTCAAGTCCAGTGAGGGATACTCGTGGCTCCTTGTCATCGAGCAGCCCAGAGCTTCCTGGGGATGGTTTGACAGCACCAACCTCTTCTGACCTCATTGTTCCCTTGACTACTAATCTCTGGACAACCCATCCACATGCAGCACTAACTGGGAGGGTTTCTTTTCTTCATGCTGAAATGTGTCATCGCTCTGGACTTTGCCCTCTCTAACTCTTCTCTGGTCTTTGCAAATATTCCAAAATTGTGATATCAGGGTTCCGTGGTTTTAGACTATACACGAGATCAAATGCAAGTCACTTGAGTTTTTCGCTTTGTCTCTTTTGTTTCTCTCCATCAGTCACCAGTCATTGCCTTAATACTTCCAATGTATGTCCTCCAAATCAGTTTCTCTCCAGACAGGTATGGTAGCTCTCCTGAAAAACATCCTAACTTGCTACTCTGAAGTCCTTGCATTGGCTCATACCCAACCTTCTCCCAATTTCCAAATGTCAACGTCTCCCCAGGGCCATGACTCATGACATCTTCAGAAGATCCTTCCCATAGAAGGAGAGTCTTGTACTCTTTTTCTACGTTTTCTTTCTTGAGGGGTGATGGGAGTCTACTAACCAGTTACCCTTGGATACTGGAATGGACCACTGTTTCAACTCACTTACTCATTTGCCTCCTTGTAGAAGCAAATCATGCACAGGTCTATTGAGGAATGGCAGCCCCGTTGTCCTTAGCCCCAGTTCCAGGAGATGCTAATATGAAAAGCTTATTAGAAAGATTCAATGCCAAAGCTTCACATCAACATTTTAAAGATTTAATAGCCATTCTCCTTATTTTAACTAAAATAATAATCAAATCTTACATAGAAGTGCAGTAGATAATGTGTATTTAAGCCTATAACCTTGCCTTCTAATTGGTCTTCCCACCTCATGTCTCTCCCTGCTCCAATCTGTCTTTCACTCGCTGCCAAAGTGATTCTCCTAAAGCATGGGACTGACCATGCCACCCCCTACTCAGTAAACTCTGGTGACTTCCTCTTACCTCCAGGATATAAGACGTTACTGTGTCATTTCAGTCATGTCCAACTCTTCATGACCCCATTTGGGACTTTCTTGGCAAAGATACTGGAGTGGTTTGTCATTTTCTCCTCCAGTTCATTTTTTAACAGGTGAGGAAACTGAGGCAAATAGGGTTAAGGGACTTGCCCAGGGTCACACAGCTAGTAAATGTCTTAGGCCAGACATGAACTCAGGTCCTCCTGACTCTACATCCGGTGTTCTATCCACTGCACCACCTAGCTGCCCCATAATATAAGATACCCTAGTATTTAAATCCCTCATAGCCTGGCCCCTTCCTACTTTTCCAGTCTCCTTATATTCTACTCCCCTCCATTCACTCTGTCATCCAGTGACACTGGCCTTCTTGTTGAGGCTCAAGTATAACACTCTAGTCTCCCAACTCAGTGCCTTTATCTAGAATGCACTTCCTCTTTCCCTCTGCTTTTGGGTTCACTGGCTTCCTTCAAGACTCACCTCAAATCCCACCTTCTTCAGGAGGCCTTGCTCAGCTCCCTCCCACACCTCCTAGTCCTTCCCCTCAGACCCTACCTGGCATCTACCCTGTATCCATCTGGTGGGTGCCTAGTTACTTTCATGTTTGTCTCTTTCATTAGAATATGACCTCCTTGAGGGCAGAAGCTGTATTTTTGCCCTTTTTTTGTATCCCTGATGCTTAGCACAGTACCTAGTATACAGAAAGAACTTAATAAATGCTTATTAATGAGCTAACCAGGACCCTAAGATCCTATTATCTGGGTTCATTTGACTTCGAGACTCTGATTAGCAGGTTTCTGTGGCTTTGGATTTAAGACCCTGCAGTTCTATGTTCCAGAGTCTTATGATTCATGTCTTAGTTGCCTTATCTACAGAACGCCTTTAGATGTGTCTAATAAGTAAATTCTGGTGTCAGGTTCCTCCTTTCTCAGAGAAGTTTCATTGTGGACTTGGAGTCAGGAAGACCTGAATTTGAATCCTGCCTTGGACTTTTACTAGCTATGAGAATCACTGAGTAAATCACTTGACCTTTCCTGGCCTCAGTTTCTTCATCTGTAAAATAGGGATAATAATATCATCTACATCCTAGGATTGTGGTGAGGTTCAAATAAGATGACCTACATAAAGTGTTGATCAAAGTGCTAGATAAATGACAGCTATTATCATTATTTATTTGGTTCCTCTTAATATGCTCACTTGGTGGGTCTTGCAGACAAAAAAAATGCCATTTTTGCATTAATATCCCCAGTGTCTCATGCAGTGTCTCGTATATAATAATCTATCGATAAAGATTTAATGATCAACTAACCTTTACTAAGCACCTACTATGCACCAAGCACTCTGCTAGTCGCTGTGAGACAAACACAAAAATGAAACTGTCCCTACTTTCACACAGTAGGCACTTGATAAAGACTGGTTGAATGAATGAAAAGGAATGACTATGTCTTTTTTTTTTCTTTCCAGGAGAATGAGAACAATGCAGTCTATGAGGAGATCTCTCTTTACTCCAACATGGCAGTGGATGGTAAAACCAGACCAGCAGACAGCTCAGCTGCCCACATGCCCAAGCCCTGCTCATCTCTTCCCATTACTGTAAGACATCTTTCCCCACAGGCGTCCTGCAGCATTGGCTTTTTCAATAACTATACAGAGAAGATGGAGAAATATGATCTGAGTGATAGACAATTAGGAACGTTCAGGAACAACTAGACTGAAAGAGTTGCAATCAGTGAACCAACATCAGCCTGGAGGGAGGTCCCTAATGAATGAAAAATCACAGGATCTCAGAGCTAGAAGGGCCTTCGGAGACTACCTGATCTGACCTGACTAACAATCCCCCCTACAACATCTCCAACAAGTGTCTTCTGGGCTCTGTTCAAACACCTCTAGAAAAGGGAGACCCACTACTTCAGGAAGCATCCCATTCCACCTTTGGATAATGGTCATTGTTAAGAAATTGTCCTTCACCTCCAAGCCAAATCTGCCTCTCTGCTTTTCCTCCCTACTGTTCTTGGTTCCTACCCATGTCATCTCTCTTTGGCCCAATGGAACGTTGGAAAGAGTACTAGAAGCAGAAGATACAGGTTCAAGCCCTTAATCTCTTTAGGCTTCAGCTTTCCCATCTGTAAAATATAAATGTTGGAATAGATGACCTCCAAACTTCCTACCAATTCTAAATCTGTGGTCCTAGGAACATTCTTATCAATGATTTGGAAGAAGGTGTAGGTGGCACATTAGACCAATTTGCAAAAGGTCTAAAATTGGAAGAGGTCTCTAACACATTGGATGACAGAATCAAAAGCCAAAAAGTAATAACAATACTTAGCATTGATATAGCACTTGAACGTTTTGCAAAGCACTATGCAAATATTTGAGCAGGTAGGTAATGCAGTAGCAGGCCTGGAGTCAGGAAGACCTGAGTTCAGATCCAGCCTCAGACACTTCTTAGCTATGTGACCCTGAGCAAGTCACTTAACCCCATTTGCCTCAGTTTCCTTATCTGCAAAATGATCTAGAGTAGGAAATGGCAAACCACTCCAATGTCTGTGCCAAGAAAACCCCGAACAGGATCACAAAGAGTTGGATGTGACTGAAAACAACTGAACAAGTATAAATCTTATCTCATTTGATCCTTACAACAACCCTGGAATCCTCACGATTGCAGTTGAGAAAACTGTGGCAAAGAGAAGTTAAAGGACATACCCAGGATCATACAGTTAGTAAGTGTCTGAGGCAGATTCAAATTCAGGTCTTCTATCGAGAAGTACAATACTTGATCCACTACACCACCTGGCTATCTCCAAAACAGATCTAGACAGGCTGAGATGATTGTCTAAAGCCAGTAAGATAAAACTTTCAGAGAAAGTCCTTCAGAGCCATTTCCAAGCCACATGAAAAAAAAAAATCCATCTCATCATTTCACAGTTACCACTGGTGCACTTAACCCCAAATGTAAGCACCTCTCTAATTTGTGTCCCCCTTGCCTCTCAATGATTTTGGCCTCATTCTAAAAACTAAATCCACTCTCAAAAGCTCAAATAGTCCTCACCACTGAGGATTTTCAGAGTAACATGTTGCAGACTCTGAAGGTCACATTACCGAGGAGTCCAAAATTAGTTTTAATCACATCCTGTTATGGCAAGACGTAGAAGTCAATCAAGTCAAGAAGTCATAAACATTTATTAAATGCCTGCTCTGTACCAGGCATTGTGCTAATCTCTGGATTTATAATAAAAACAAGCAGTAACAACCAACATAAATGATTTATATGATGTTTTAGGTTATATAAACCATTTAAGTGATACACACACATATATGTATCTATATCTATAGATAGATAGATAGATAGATAGATAGATAAATCACTCTTGTTATCATTAAAATTGATAAGGACTGAGGCAATTAAATCTGAGCATATCAATTTATTGCAAGACTTGCAACTGCCAACCAATCGGGTCCATGACTTCCTCAGTAGGTACAAGGACAGCATTTAGCAGTTTACAAAGCATTCTTATCGTCAATAAAGAAGAACCAATCAATTTACATAATCCTGAGTAACATGGGCATTCTCTCTTCTGATTGGCCCCAGTTTTACAAATCCTGTGGTTGTGACATGAATATCCTGGAACATTCTGTGGTCATTAGAACATACCATAAGACATATGAAACATTTTGTGGTTAGCACCCATTACCTCAGTTTCTCAGAACTGTCTCAACAGCTTAATTCCCCATAATCATATGATTTATATCAAAGCAAAATGAAGGACGATCACAAAAGGGAAAGGACCAAACAAAACAGAGTTAGTTTTGGATTTCACATCATATAGACATTTTGTCATCCAGTTGTGTCAAATTCTTCAGGACCCTGTTTGGGGTCTTCTTGGCAGAGATACTGGAGCAGTTTGCCATTTCCTTCTCCAGCTCATTTGACAGATGAGGAAACTGAGGTCAACAGGGTGAAGTGACTTTCCCAGGGTCTGAGGATGGATTTGAACTCAGAAAGATGACTGCAGGCCTGGCACTCCTTCCACTGTGCCCCCTAGCTGCCTCTATATAGACATAGACGTAAACACACACACACACACACACACATAATTAGAGCCTCACAAGCCTGTGAGATGAGTGCTACAGTTATTATTTATCCCCATTTCACAGATGAGGAAACTGAGGCTTGGGGAGTTTGTAAATCATGAATTCTTAACTTTTTTTTTGTGTCATGGACCCCCGTGGCAGTCTAGTGAAACCTATGGACCCTTTCTCAGAATAATGTTTTTAAATGAAGGAAATCAATTATATTGAAATAGAATTATCAACAAAAAAAATTTTTTTAAACAAATTCATGATTTCCAGGTGAAGAACCCATTCTAAGTGACTTGCCCAAGGTCACACAGCTAGTAAAAGGCAGATGCAGGGGGAGGGGAAGGAGAATTGAGGAACAAGTCTGAGTTTACTTTGTCTGGACCCTTTTTGGCCATTAGAGTCCTTTAAAATATATCGGGGCAGCTAGGTGATGGAGTGGATAGAATGCTGGCCCTGGAGTCAGGAGGACCTGAGTTCAAATCCAGTCTCAGACACTTAGTGGCTGTGTGACCCTGGGCGAGTCATTTAACCTTAAAAATTAAATATATCATATCCTTTTGTCAGACTGAACTATAAAATTTTTAGACCTAGAAAGGAACTCAGAACATAGACCATAGAATGAAAGAGTTGGAGGGGAATCTTAGAACCTAAAACTTAGAATGTCAGAGCTTTGAGGAGGTGTTACAGAAAATGTAGTCTGACCCCCTTATTTTACAGTTTAGGAAACAGGCTTAGAGAAGGGGAAGTGACTTGTCCAAGGTCACAAAGCTAGTTAGTGGGAAAACTGGGTCTAGAACTTGGGTTTCCTGATTCCTAGCTCTATGCTTTTTTTTTTTTTTAAGGGAAGGGCCATCTCAGTGGCATACCCTAATGAAAAATACTGGGCTACACAAGATCCTGTATCAGGGAAGCATGCTTAAAAGGGGAGGGAGGGGTAGAAAGGTACAAAAAACCAACTTTCCAATATTTCCAAGGTCTAGCCCAGAGTGATGTGGCCACTCACACTGAGTTCTGTTTACAGGTATCCCTGAGATCCGTGCCACTACCCTGGAAAAGAATGACAGAGAAGTGCAAGGCTGACAGACCAAACTCCTCGTCCCAGATGTGGGCAAAACCTTTAGAGCAATCACCAGCCCCAGGCCATACCCAGAGGTCAGGGAAGGCTTTGCTGAGTGATGCCCCACCAAAAATCTGGAAGAATCTTAAAAATCTGCCTCAGACTGGGAAGAAAATAACAAAGCAAATAAAAAGTCATCTCTCTGATGTGAAGCTCTCCTTCCCTTTTTCAACAGTAGCTGGGAGCCATGGAGAGAGTCAAGCCAGGGGGATGCCAGGAGGAGATGAATCTGCCACCCAGGTAGAAGACAGTCACCCTAAGACTCAAAATCTCTGCCTGCCTTCAAGCAAAATGGTTGGAACATCAGCCACCACAATTTCCACTTCTGAGGATGCCATCTTCACTGGCCCTAGAAGGGGGGTGATCTCAGGAACTACATGCCAGGACAGTCCCAGGCCAGCAGGTCATGAGCTGGGCTCTTTCCCTGAGGAGTACTATCCACCCCCACCCTTTGCCCCAGGGTACTGAGAGCCTCGGAGGAAACAGAGGGTCACTCACAATGGTAGATGCTCTGTACTCCAGGTGTGGTCTAGGGTGACAGATGGGTCCTGTGTCTAGAGTATGGTGTTCAGTTCTAGGCACCCCATTCTAGGATAAACATTAACAAGCTCAAAGAGAATGCAGAAGGAAATAACTAGTTAGTAAAGAAACCAGAAATCCATCAATATAAGAATCAGTTGAAGGACCTGCAGAATTTTAGCCTGGAAAAGAGACTTAGTGGGGATGGACAATTTCTGTCTTCAAATATCTGAAAGACCATCATAGCAAAGAGGCAATAATCATTTTGCTTGCCCATTGAAAGCAGAATTTTGACCAATGGGAGAAAGGAACAGAAAGGCAGATTTGGGCTCCTTATAAAAAAGACCTGAGTTCAAGTCCAGAATTTGACACATCCTAGCTGTGTGATCCTGGGCTAGTCACAGCCTCTCAATGCTCTAGGCACTGAAACCATCAGTGGCAAGAAAAGATGTAAACCTGTGTGAGTAGCAGGAGTTTCCTCACCTGGGAGTACCCAATACCAATGAGATTATAGGTGCTATCTCTACCCTCATAAAAGAAGATGCCTCTACCATTAGAGTTATCTAACCATGGAACAGGCTGCTTTGGATGGGTAGTGACTTGCCCATCACTGACTGTCTTCAAATAGAGGCTGGATAATCACATTGCTGAGGATGTTGGATTTACTTATCTATGTACCTGTTGTTTGTAAGAATGCAAGTTCCTTGAGGGTAGGAACTATTTCCTTTCTAGGTGCTGCAGAAGATTGAGCTCTGAACCTAAAGTTAGGAAGAGCTGAGTTCAAATCTGGCCTTGGACACTTATTAGTTGTGTGACTCTGGGCAAGTCACATATGTCTGCCTCAGTTTCCTCAATTATAAATCGAGGATAATAATAGTACTCACAGGGTTGTTGTGAGTAGCAAAGGAAATAGTATTTGTAAAGTGCTTAGCATAGTGCCTGGTACATGGTAGGTAGTTAATAAATGTTTGCTTCCTCCCTTCCTTCCTGTTTTTATATCCCCAGCACAGTGTCGCATATGTTATAGGAATTTGATAAATATTTTTAAAGTTGAATTGTAAAGTGAATTAATGCATGGGATGGGAATTTAAACCATGTGATCTTCAAAATCTCTTCCAGCTATTAGAGTCTGTGATTTCATAGTCTTGGGAGTAGGGGAGCTAGGGAAAAGTAGAACCTTAAGTGTACTGATTCTCTGCTGCTCCCAACCCTAACGCTAAGAAATGTAAACATATAAGCTAAAGTTACCTAAGGTCTACAAAGAATTCAAATAAAGAATTCAAAAATTCAACTTACATTCTGGTATTTTCTCTCACTAGGGTATAGTTATATTTTTGTTTTGGGGGAGTTTTTTTCCCCCTGCAGTTACAAATCAGTCTGTTTACCCTGTTTAACCAGAACTCATTTATCAGACCCCTCAATTAAATGGAATTACTTCAGTACTCTCCTGTTAGGAGAAGGGAACATGTGACACGCCTGGCATGTTAGCGGAGACAGGTGATCGATGTTGCCTACCCCACCAAAGCAGAGGAGACAGAGGTCACACCTGTGCTTCTCAACAGGCAGGGTTGTAATTCTCAAGAAAGAGTGACAAAATGGTTCTGATGTATCCTGGATTGGGCTTGTACCAAATGAATAAGCAGAGAAAGGTTGGAGAAGCTGGCACACATCCCCTCGGGCAAAATGCTCCCTCTCTGCCCTAGTAAATAATTGGTGTAGTGTAAAGCAGGATGAATTTGGAGTCAGAGAAAGAAAGTTCAATTCTTGGTACCCATATGATCTTGGGGGTCATCTAATGCTTCTAGTCCTTAGTTTCCTCAGTCTGTAAAATGGTGGGGGTGGACCAGATGTTTTCTAATTAATTAATCCATGAATTTTATGATCCTATCATTATGAATTGAGGGGTAATCCCCAGATCAGGGATTGAAGTAACCAATTAGTTTTTTAAGTACTTTGAGTGTTGTAATGGAATGTAACGACTTTTCAGGGAAAGAATGAGTAGTGAGAAGTACCTTTAACATTGTTATCCAGAGAAGGGTACCCAGAGGAGGAGGATGGAGAGAGGAGACCATGCCATATAAGGACCAGTTGATGCAACCAGGGATATTTTGCCTAGAGAAGACTTCAAGCAGGGGTCCTTAACCTGATGAACTTGCTTTTTAAAAAAATTGTTTTGATCATTTTGTTTCAATACATTTGGTGTCCTTTGTAATCTGATGTATTTTATTTATCCATTTAAACGCATCTTTCTGAGAAAGGTCCATAGGAGGGGCAGCTAGGTGGCACAGTAGATAAAGCTCTGACCTTGGAGTCGGAAGGACCTGAGTTCAAATCTAACCTCAGACACTTGACACTTACTAGCTGTGTGACCTTGGGCAAGTCACTCAACCCTAATTGCCTCACCAAAAAGCAAAAAAAAAAAAAAGGGCAACTAGGTGGCACAGTGGATAGAGCACTGGCTCTGGAGTCAGGAGGACCTGAGTTCAAATCCGGCTTCAGACACGACACTAGCTGTGTGACCCTGGGCAAGTCACTTAACCCCAATTGCCTCACAAAAAAAAAAAGAAAGAAAGGTCCATAGATTTCACCAACTGACAGCCACAAGGGGTCATGCCACAACAAGAACCCACGGACATGATGGTTGTCCCTAAATGTCTATCATTGGACAGAGGGGTGACAGAGAGACAGAGGTGGTTCTTCTTAGTTCCAAGGGGCAGAACAAGGAATGATGGGTAGAAGATGTAGAGAGAAAGACTGAAGCTCAATGTGAATGTGGACCCTTTCCCTCTCTCCCCACCCCGACACATTGCCATGGAGACTTGGTAAGCCCAGAAGATGTCTGCACAGTTGGGCACATGCATTTTTCTAGAGGTCCCCAAGTTTCTAGAAGCGTTTGACTTTGGATGTAACTTCTTTCCCCTAAGAATCCATGTGGCCAAGACATAGAGGAGTCATGTGAAAAGATATAAGAGGAGGCCTGTGAGCTTCAATGGAAGGGACTTCCATGTTTCTCCTGGCAAGGGGGTAGACAATGGAGGAATTTGTCACTGCCTCTGCGGCAGAAAGAAAGGAGAGCAGAGATTTGCGGCATGGCAGAGCATGATGGAAAGCAGGGAGAGAGGTATGCAGTCAGGCCGGTTAGTGCCAACAAACTAGAGCAGAGAACAGACTATGGGATTCCAGTCTTCTCTGCTTCCCTAGCTAGAGCTGGGGACACCCTGGAGAGGTAGGAGTGGTGAGCCAATTAGAGAATTTCTTCTGCATTAGTAATCTCTAAGATATTCATAACACAGACTGCTTTGAATGCAGAGAGAGATTTAATAAGGAAACGAGCCAGTAGCAGTGAGAGGTGGAAAGTTGGTGTGTTTGTTTAAGTAATGACCTACAGGACTGAGCACTGGGACAAGCCCTCCCTGACTCCATGAGGGCAAAACTTTTTAACCGCTGGAGCTGTCCATAAGAAGAATGGGCTTCCTCAGAAGGCAGGAGAGTTCTCTTTTTTATCAGACTTTGAGTAAAGATCATGTGCTGGATAGGTCATAAAAGAGATTCCTATACAAATGCGGTTTGAGCTACATGACCATGAGGCCCCCTTCCAATTTCGTGAAATTATGAAGAATAGCTTTGGGGTTCACCCCCCCACCTGCTGCCCAAGTAATACCCAGGTTCATGGTAGTACTGTGGTTGTTTTTATTCAGCCGTGTCTGATTCTGCACCGCCACATGGACCATAGCATGCCAGTACTGTCCATAGGATTTTCTTAGCAAAGATACTGGAGTAATTTGCCATTTCCTTCTCCAGTGGATTAAGGCACACAGAGACTAAGTGACTTGCCCAAGGTCACACAGCTAGTGAGTGTCTGCAACTGGATTTGAATTCAGGTCTTTCTGATTCTGGGCCCAGTGCTCTATCCACTGAGCCATCTAGGTGCTTCTTCTTAGTATTAGTAGTATGCTATTGGTGTTTAAATTCACAACACTTAGCCTCTACCAACATACATTTTTATACCAGAACAAACCTGATGACAGATTTAATTAACAGCAAAGATACTTAATTATGCAATCCATGATCCAGGATTTCCCAACCTTCTAGGCTCACATGAATTGAGTTTAGTCCTGGGAACTGACCTTACCGGGTCAATATTTTTCATGGGCTTATTGCTCCCACCTGAAAATGTCCCCCAAAATCTCCAAATATGCTTATAGAATAGTTTGTCTCTAGGTTTCCTGGACTGTGGGTAAAAGGGGTTCTTAGCACCTATACAAGAACTCAAAATACTAAATGTATATCAGGTCCTAGAAAGTCTGTTATACCCCACAGAAAATTCACAAAAGGTAAAGGAGCCCAGAAACAGACACAGAAATGCAAAAAAAATGCTCAAAAACTCAACTCCCCTCAAAAGGGAGCTAAACTTCAAGGTGGGGATTGCTATTAGGGAGACCCTTTGACATTTTGGTAAGTTCCTGTTTCCCAGAGATCCTACACAGTCTACTCAAGAATTATAGTACCACCCAGTGGTTTAGATTCCATCCAGAAGGCAAACATATTTTGGAGGCTATTAAACACCCCCCCCCTTCCCATCAGACCTATATTGTCCAGTAACGGTAGTTTTCATCTCCAAGGATGCTATGCAAGAATTTGAAGATGATCCTCTTCTTCCTCCAAGGAGCACACTATATCAGAAAATCATTTCTTCTGTCTGGTTTCATTCTCAAACCCACAAAATTGGGGTTACCAATTAGGCAATTCCCAAAGATGGTGCTAACCAGGAAATCTCCATTCTCTAGTTAGAGGGCTAGACTCTGGGATCAAGCTACCCAGAGAACTAAAAACCACCTTTCCTCCGCACAGGAGTTGGGGGTCCATTGTCCATGAACGCTGCTCTTAAGCACATACCTACCACTAGCATTCATTTCTACTACCGGTTGTCATCCACTGCCCCTGAGATAAAGGAACTGTGGACGGGCACAGATTCTCTTTCCACAGCACTCCTAGCCCCTAAACACAAGTCTGCTCTGCTTTATACTGATCTGTCTTCTCAGAGTTCAAGAGAACACGAAAAGGAACAAGCTGGCCTTGAAAGTTTCTTTTGTAAAGTCAAGATGAGACTCCATCACTCTAATCCAATTATCTTAAAGATAGTCTCAGTCTCAAAAACCTGAAGATTAAGGTGTCAGTGTTCACGCCCACCTGTCCTTTGGGAAAAGCCCCTCAAATGGCTCCAAACAGAGGTTCAAACGCTATAATCTTATCCAGTTGGGTAACAAACTCTTCAAATTGTTCAGGGATTCCCCTAATCCCTGAACCCCTCTTGTAATTAAAGCAGAAAAAATGATATAATAACAAGGGATTAAATCAGGTTTTAAGCACCCTTGGCACCCAATCCCAAAGGGTCACTCCACAGGCATGTCTCCTGGGAGTGCTATTTGGCTGCCAATTAGCCCTCCTGCCTCCCCCAATACAGCAGGAGAGGGACACATCAATTTACTTGGAGAAAAGTGATAAGGCAGGCTTGGGGGTTCTGGGTTCTCAGATGATAAGATGAGAGCATTGTAGACATTGTGACTTATTTCTCTTAATGCAACAACAACAGCATTGTGTGTGCTGACTTCCCTGAAGACCACTTCTGCCAGCCATACTAAGCCCAGGAAGGAGAAGAGGGGTCTAGATATGGCTGCCACTTTTCCTTGCCTCTCATCTTCATTACTTTAGCCTCCTTGTTTCATAAGACTTCCCAGACTTTCAAACCATGCACACTGTGAGTATGCTTACCCAAGCCAAGTTGGCGTTAGGTGATATCACCAAGCTGTGGAGGCCACACACAAGTTTCTGGGTT